GGCGCGCTGGTGCTCCTGGGGTTTGAGAAGTGTGGAAAGGCGTCGCTGGCGGCAGGCAGGCTCTGCGCACACAGGGAGCAGGGAAGACAGGAGCTGGCAGATGCAGCCGGCAGTGTCAGGTGCTCTGGGGGTTCGGCACTGGGGGGGTGCAGACAGGCGTGCCGCTGTCCGCTTCACTTCCAACACGACCCGTCACCAAGGTCACCAGACTATCGCTTGTCCTCCTGGGCAGGATGCCATGCCACCGTGGAGTGTCCGAGTAGATGTGGGGTGGGGGTCGGGGTGCAGACAGGGAGACTTTAGGGTGGAGGTTGAATTCTGGAAAGTTAGAGGCCATGTCTTAGCTTTATGACCACTGACTACTTTTCAGATGTTGATTGTGTAAGTAGAGTTCCATGAAACAAGGGCTGGCGTGAGGACACTGTCAACATTTCGTAATTTCAGCCTTGCAGTTTTTTCGCTCACGGGCCTCCTTCCCCCGCATAGTGATTCTGCTGCAAACCGGGAAGAGCGGCCGGGTCGGGCACCAAAGGCTCCCAGGCAGGGCAGGCCCTGCCCCGCTCCGCCTTCCCTTTCCTCCGTATTCTCACGACGGCCTTCACAGGCGCCCTCCCCGCCGCCACCCCGGAGCCCTGGCCTTCACGAGCCTGCTGTGGAAGTGCTGCAGCGCGTCAGACCGCCTGAGCGTCCAGGTCCGCGTCACTGTCCCCCACGCCGCCCCCCAGGCCCTCAGCTTGCCCTGAACGTGCGTTCCTGCGTCCCACGGCCATGTGTCCACAGCGTGGCCAGACCCCTCCTCGAGACCCGCTCGCCTCTGTGGCCATTCCGACCCTCCCGCCCAGCACCGCCAGGCCTTCAGTGCGCTTTGCAGGCAGCTTCCATGGCCATGGGCCGGCCTGGGGGCAGTGCTGGGAGCTGCTGGGCCATGGGCCCCCCCCAGTGTCTGCTGTGTGGTCCTTGCAAGGTCCCTCTGTCTCGTACCGTCCACATCCCCCAGGCGTGGACAGGGCTGCTCCTTGCCCACACCAGCACTTGCTGCTGGGGTCTTTCTTACTCAGGAGAGGAGCGGGTCTTCCTCTACCGCCATTTACAAATGCTAGAAAAAGAATATGCCGGTCTTTTAAAAGATACTCGCGCTGCATAACAAAAACCTATTTTAAAAAAGCATTTGGGTCATCCAGTTTAGTCGCACAGATACAACGCCCCGGGCACCTGGGTAATGAACGCTCAGGGTGTGGGTCAGGCAGGCGTCTGAACAGCCACCCGCAGCGGTGCGCTGGGTCTGTGCCAGCGCGTGGCGGCCCCACAGCCAGGGTCGCCCTTCAGAGCGCCCATTTCTTTCTTTCAAAGATTTACTCACCTATGCATACAAAACTTGGGGTGCAGGGAAGAGTGGGGGGGCGCCAGGACTCTTCAAAGACAGAGTGTTGAACAGAACAGTCAGACTGACCAAAATCCTCTGCTGAGGGAGCAGCAGGCGGGTCAGGAGGGGTCTGCTGCACCCTGTGGGTCACTCCCTGGCCGGGGGTCGAACTTGCACCGCGGGGGCTGTGGACTGCTTCACAGGCTGCGCTTCACAGGTGGCTGTGGTGCCACCGGGGGCCCCCCAAAGTGCTCTACTTCCAGGGGCTGCATCCGGCCCACCAGATGAATGTGTCACATTTGAAGAATCTGCTGCTTCCTCACCCTTACCCAGCTTTCCCATCTTGCGTCTGACCACGTGTGGCCAGGCAAAGCGCCCTGAAAACAAGAGGCTTACTTCCGCCGAAACGCCACTGGTCAGCGCACAGGCGGCCTTCCCCGCGGCCGGTCGCCCCGACCTCCCTCCAGCTCCGCTCACGCCTCACGCCCCACGCCGCCCCGCGCTCCTGCCTGGCCCCTGCGCACGACACCGCCGGCTCCCAGGGCTGCGTCCAGCCTGACGGCACCCTCAGAGGCTCCGTTTCCCCTTCACGGGGACTGGGCGAGGGCTTCAGCCTATCTCCTGGGGGGACGCAACTCAACCCGGAGTCGGCCCTTGCGAACGGGGCTTGGGGTCAGGCTTGCGATCCAGTTCCAAAGTCGTCAAACCCAGGAACTGGGCCAAGTCGGCATCTCTGTGCTAATACAGTCCGCCTTGTGACTCTGTGCGAGGGTTAAAAAAAGTGTGTGAGGTGGCAGAGGGCAGGAGACGGCCCTGGGCTGCAGCTTCTCCTTCGCTCCCTTACCTGCGCTGGTGTGATTATAAAGCCGACCGATGAGGCGAGACCGCAGGCGGCCCCCGGGGGGGCCCTGCCAAACCCGAAGCCCCTGACCTTGTCCCACCTGACTACTCTGCCCCCGCCCCCACGCAAGCTCGGGCGGGGGCACAGATGCCCAGGCCCCAGGGCAGCGCTCGGCAGGCGTCTGGCTCGCGGTGCTTTAGCTGCTGAGTGCGTGAGTTGGCACTGCTGCCCGGCGGATGGGGCAAACCACCCCCTTTGCTGCAGTTCTGAAAATGAACAGGAGCGCCACGGTCTGGGCGGCCCCCGAGTGCCTCACTCCGGCTGGGTTCCTGCAAACTTCCAAACCAGGGGCCACCTGCCCTTTCCCACCTCCCCACCGACGTGGCCAATTGGGGTTTATCCCCACGCTGTTCCTGATTTCTTTGGTGGAACTTTCTGGAAGGTGTTCTAGCTGGCAAAGGAAAAAAAAAAAAAAAAAAAAGCCCGGGGCAGAGAAATGTGAGCGGAAGTCCTGAAAACATGGACTCCGGTGTGAGGAGCGGGCTCCTTCCGTGGAGGGCACGGGGCCGCCACACCTGGCCGGTGTCTCCACCCCTGCTGCTCGCCGGCCTGTGCTCACTGAGCAGTTGCTGGTGTCCTTGCGTCTACCGCCCCTCACATGTGGCCTGTCGTGGACTGCCCGCTCCTGCCCGGGCGTGGGGGCGGTCGCTGGGCGGCATGTGCTGGGCCAGGCTCCCGCTGCCGCCCCGTCTGCAGGAGCCGGGCTGGGCAGGCCCCCGGCGGAGGCCGCCGAGGCTGGCTACCTGGAGTGTGCAGGCCCCCGAGGGGAGGCGTCCGCACGTGCTGAGGGCCGGGTGAGGGGGCCCTGTCCTTGCGCAGGGACAGCTACGGGTGAATTTCAAGGCAGCGTGTTCCGTACCCCAAAAGAAAGACAAACCCCCGGTGGTGCAGCGGTCAGTCTCAGGCTATGACACTAACGCCAGCCAGACCCCTGCCGGGGAGTGACCCCCAGGGCAGCAGGCCCCGGCTGTCCCCCCGCTGGCCCCTCAGCAGTGGGTCTGAGTGGACCTGCCTGTTCTGTTCTGCTCCTCACTCTGTCTCTGGGGAGCCCTCTCACCCCCACCTCTGGCCTGTACCCAGCTCTTGGAAGCATAAATAAATAAAAATAAATGTAAAAAAATAAGATGAATGCGAAGCCTCTGTAATCAAGCGGGTTTTAGGGCTTCACGGGCAGGTGTTCAAGCAGGTGAAGTAAGCAGACCTACAACTGTCAGCTTTGCAGGGAATTTTACTGGAACAGTGTGGAGCCCGTTCTCAACTGCCTTACGGAAATAAAGGAGTTAAAACGTGCTTTCCACAGATTTCCCATGGGCAGTACTATTAGGTGAAGCAAAAGTCCCTTTTTGGGAATTTCCTTTGCTTC